AAATGACTGGCTATGTTAGTTTTGACTATGTGAATGAAGGTAAAATTTGGAGCAAGTGCAGTTGCTATAGCAAACATTGAGTTCATTCCTCCAATTTATGAGAAAACGGATAGAATAAATGAACATTCTTCTTCTGGCTTTGAGTATTTTACATGCATCTAGTGCCAGTGTCTTTTAGTGGTCACTAAAACTCAGGAAAAGATCAGGTAACCAGGTTCAAAACCTATACCAAAGAAGCTGGCAGGAAAAGTTATTCATCTGCTAATCTTCAATTTAGAATAGGCAGTTGTCGGCTCTCCTTTCTTATTACGACCAACTTAGTTTACATAATCTGTCTGACTTCCCTGATCAGGTTCCAAAAGGCTCCATAAGGGAATTAAAATCTATAATTGGAAAAGGTTAAAGTCATTTTGCAGACCATCTTAGAACCACAATCAGTGCTTCAGATACCACAGTGAGGTCAACGGCAAGAGCTGTAATGATCTGTTGAACATCATGGCTACAATCTTCTGGGATTCACAGAGAAGCCCAGAATAGCATAGAAGATCCTCCTGTTGAAGGGAATGAACTTTTCAACATTGAAACTGATGAAGCACCACATTCATTAAAGGGCTTTAGAACACTTGCACTATTCAGCTTAGAAGAAAACAGTCAAGACTTTGTTCAGGAAATCTGCTGCTGCTGCTTATTTTAATAATCTTTGTTTCTCTCCTCTGGACTCTCATTTGTCCATATCCTTCTTGAAGTAGGTGCCCAAAAGTAGGCACCATACTCCAGGTAAAACCTCACTAGTGCAAAATGGAGCAGAAGAAACAAGCAAGCAAGCCTTTTATTAATAAAGCCCAGTATGCCATTGGGTGTTCTGCAACAGCTGTTCTTTGTAGGAAATACGTGCAATTTTGCTTCCTACCCTGAACTGTGACTGAACCAAGTGAAAGTCCCAAGTTTTTGTGTGATCATCCAGGATATTCAGAATTTTCATCTCAATCAAATGATATATTTCTCTTTTTTACCCATTCCATGTTTGAACCAAGGAGAAATTAGGATCCATATCCTTAACCCTATCATTTTATATGGAAAGAACAAAATAATTTAGAATCTCCAGAATTATTTGTTGCAAGGAACAAGCTATATTGTTTCAGAGGTGGTCTAAGTGAATTTCAGATTGGGACAATGATTGCTATCAACTGGTTAGATTGGATCCCCCCGGATAAAGTAGAGCTCCTTTTGTCAGAGAAAAAGTAATGTCAAAATCTATAATGGCAGAAGGTTAACTTATTTTGCAGACCATTTTGTAACCACAATCAATTCTTGAGATATCACCACAAGGTTAATGGCAAAAGCTGTAATGATGTGCCAAACATCATGGCTACAATGTTCTGGGATTCACAGAGAAATCCAGAATAGTATAGAAGATCTTCCTATTGAGGGGAATGAATTTTTCAACATTAAGACTGACAAAGCACTACATTTATTACAGGGTTTTAGGACACTTGCCCTTCAGCTCAGAAGGAAACACTTCTTTTAGAAGTGTTGCAAGTGCTGACATTTGTGAAGCAATTACCTGGAAACCAGTCTATATGTTAACTGAATACTGGCCTTTAATAGAGACATGTAGATTTTGAAGCCTAGTTTTTTATAGTTGTGTTACAATCCTTTTTTAAATATAAGCTCCAGTATAAGCAGCAATCTCCTGTACATCATCTTACTGCTTGAGAGTCACCAGAAGTGGAATACATATACACAAGCACACACAGTTCTCAGTAACTGCAGTTCTCCTTTTGTGTTTTCTATATCTATTCTACAACAAAGCCTTCTTCTACTTACTGTGCAGTCTGATGTTACCTAGATAAGGACTGTCCAACTGGTGGTCCGTGGGCCACATGCAGCCTGTAAGGGATTAATACACAGCCCCTGGCCCGTCCCCCAGCCACTGCTCCCCCTTTCACTCAGGCAGCAGCTGCAGCCAAGGTTTCTAGGCTCTCCCTCCTTCCCCTAATGTTTTAGGTGGGGTTGGGGAGCCTGCAGCTTCAGAGGAGTCTACAGAAAGGTAGCTGGCATGGGGGTGTTGCCCACATGCAGTGCAGTGGTTGGAGGGAGGGGGCCTGCGCACGTGTGGTTCTGTAGTTGGGGAGGCTGCCTGTGTATGCAGTGTAGCATCCAGTGGTAGTAGGGGATAAGGCATGGGGGCCTGTAGCTCACATTAGTGTGGCCCCCGTTGGTGTGGTCCATGTGGCATTTAACCACTTTGCAGTTAGACAGCCCTGACTTAAATTCTGTATTGGTGAAAAAACTGAAGGATATATGGGCCCTCTCCATTCTTTATACCTGCAGGATGCAGGGCAAGAAGTAAAAGCATACCAGGAAATAGCAAGAACTTGCAGGGGCAAAATCAGGAAGATAAAGAATGAGCTGTACTAAGATAAAGAATGAGCTGTATGTGGTAAAGGGGATTAAGGACAACAAGAAGAGGTTCTGTAAGCATTTGGTCACAAAAGAGGAACCAGGGAACCTGAGGGTCCTGTGTTAAGCCAGGGAGAAATCCTAACAGAAAATTAAAAAAAGCAGACCTACTCAACACCTACTTTGCCTCAGTATTCACAAAAAAGTTAAGCTGCAGCCAAACACCTAATAAGGAGTATTGGGATAAGGAAAAGGACAAGCTGAAGGAGGAGATAACAGAAGAGATGGTCAGAGAGCGTTTGTTGGGTCTGAATGAATTCAAGTTAGCAGGGCCAGATGAACTTCATCTCAGAGTACTGAAGAAACTGGCACAGAAGAATTTAGTGTCCTGGACAATGATTTTCATGAAGTTGTGAGAGATGGGCCAAGTACCAGTGGACTGGAAAAGGGCCAATGTAGTGCCCCTCTTTAAAAAAGGCAAAAAGAAGGACCAGGGAAACTATGGAGTGGTTAGCCTCCCCTCAATACCTGGTAACTTACTGGAGGATATCCTAAGAAAAGCCATTTGCAAGCATTTGGAGGAAGAAAGGCCGATCACAAGCAGCCAGCATGGATTTATGAAAAACAAGTAATGTCAAACAAAGTTGATCTCCTTCTGTGACAAAGTGGCTATGTGGGTGGATGAAGGGAATGCTGTGGATATAGTGTATCTGGACTGCAGCAAGGCTTTTGACAGGGTCCCACATGACATTCTCATAAACAAATTGGAAGAATGTGGGCTGGACAAAACTATGGTAAGGTGGATAGATGACTGGCTCAATAGCCACAAAGGGTAACTATTAATGGGTACATATCAGAATAGCAGGAGGTTTTGAGTGGAGTGCCTCAGGGGTCTGTCCTGGGCCTGGTGCTGTTCTCAACGTATTTATTAAAGATTTGGGTGCAAGCATATAAAGCTTCTTGAACAAGTTTGCAGGTGACATTAAACTCAGAAGGATTGTGAGCACATTGGAGGGTACAAACACAATTCAGAAGGATCTCAACAGATTGGAAAACTGCGCTATAGAGCTAACAGGATGAAGTTCAGTGTGGATAAATGCAAGGTGCTTCACTGTGGGAAGTATAATCAAAAATGCAAACATAAAATGGGTGACACTTGGCTAGATGGCAGCACTATGCAAAAGGACTTGGAAGTCTTGGTAGATTATAGATAGACTCAATATGAGTCTGCAGTGTGCAGCTGCACAAAAGGCGAATGCAGTTTTTGGATGCATCAATGGAAGTATTGGGTCTAAGATGTGGGAGGTGATAGTGCCTATAGTCAGCACAGGTTAGGCCTCATCTAGAATACTGTATGCAGTATGGCTCCATATTTTAAAAAAGATGTTGAGAAGTTGGAGAGGGTCTAGAGGTGAGCAACAAAGATGATGAAGAGCTTGGAAAGCAAGTCATAAAAGGAGAAACTGAAGGAGCTAGGTATGTTCAGTTTACAGAAAAGGTGCTTAAGAGGAGATATGATAGCAGTCTTCAAATACTTGAAGGGTTGCCATAAAGAAAAGGGAAAGCACTTCTCTCTTGCTGCAGAGAGGATGTGGAACAATGGCTTCCATTGCAGCAAAGTAAGTTTAGGTTGGATATCTGGAAAAACTTCTTCAGTAGTGAAGTAGACTGCCTCAGGAACTTGTGGACACTTCCTCACGAGATGTTGAGGAAGTTGTTGGACAGCCACTGGTCAGGGATGATTTAGGTATAACTATGCCTATGTTCTACTATGGGTATTTCCAATGCTTCTGGGCTTTGCTGGTTTGCCCCCCCCCCCCCAAATGTATCAGGGTGTTTTTAAGCCTCGCTCAGACACACTGGTCCCCTCAAGGCTGCGGACTTTGACTGGGGTGTGCCAATGCTCCTGCTGGGACCAAAGCCAGTTCCTGGCTAGAGGGTCTTGCACCTCCACTCAGGGTCTGACCGATTGCCATACTTATCATCAGGAAGGAATTTACCCCATGGTCAGATTGGTATGGATTGTGCAGGTTTTTGCCTCCTTGTGTAGTGGGTGGCATGGCCCTATATTTGGGATCTCCTGAGCATATACTGACAACCTTTCATAGAAGCAGGACATTGGCTGCCATGGTTGCCCTGCTTTACCAATGGCAGGTTAGGCTGTTAGATCTGTGTTGCATCAGGGTTGACAGTAGCCTTATGTATACTTTAGATATTGGTTTCTATAGGATGATTTGGATTGAGATGATCCTGCCTCAGATGACCCTTCCAGCCCTACTTTTTTATGATTCTTTATATTCAGGGTCAGAATTGTAGTCATAGCGGATGTTGATGACCAAAAGTTTCTGGATATTGAGCACATGGTAAGGTTTCCTAAAGAATTCCAGCTCTGCAAAGTTAACTAACTCTTTTTCTTTATAATTTATACAGTAAGTTGCAGTGAGGGGAAAATAAAATGTATCTGTTCTTCTTATCAGATATTCTTCTGTGCCTAAAAACAAATTGGAAGATTTGTTGCTGATTAATTTGATTATTTTATTACTTGTTATTGAAATGTGTATTTTGTTATATAATGGGATTTTATCTCATTGATACAGGCTGCATGTAGAATTACTCGTCACTCACCCAGCGCTTTTCAGAGTGTCATAGAAAAGGTGGGATTAACAGCTGTACTAAACTCATTGGCAACTGGAATTTGCAAAGTTCAACAGTACATTCTGACCATGTTTGCTGCTATGTTGTCATGTGGAATTCATCTGCAGAGACTGATTCAAGAAAAGGTTTGATTTAAACTTTACATTACTGTTTGCTGACACAACCTTTCATTACTGTCGAGTTAATACTGTCTGATCTAGTGGTTCTTGCTTTTCAGAATGTTGATTTCAGTGATGCTCAAATCTCTTAAAATCAGGAAGTGAAGAAATAAGTTTATTCAAACTTGTATTTCTGAAAACCAGGAAATATGCAGTTAATGCCTTTTACAGTAAAACCACTTTAGCAGACACTGTTCAAACTGGATACTAAAGGAGAAAAGATTACCACCTATAGTCTGTAGGGTGAGTATAGGGCCACTGTGTGGTTTTCAAACCATGTTCTTTGGAAGCCTAAGGGTCTGCAATAGGTTATCAGGTGTTCTGCAAAGAGACTGGGGGCAATGAGAAAGTGAGCCGGAAGCAGTATACCATCATTGCAAGGCTGGGTCACCTGGTTTAGTATCAGTCTTTAGGATAGGGGTAGGGGCTCCACAGCAGGAGTAATATGAAAGGGTTCTGTGACTTCAGGAACTTTGAAAGCCACTTGTCTATTCAGTAGTATATTTAAGTTCTTAAAAATAAAACCCCAAAAAGTGAAATAATGAGGTATAGCACTTAGTATGGCTCTTTTTTTGAATCTCGAGAGGTGAGACTGATCTGTAGCTAAGCTGCTGCTACAGGTAAAATTCAATAAATTTAAAAAGCTTTAGCCTGAACATCAACACATGATGGCCCCAAGGAAAAACAAGGGAAAAATATACGAGGAAAACTTCTTTGACATGGTATTCTTAGACATTTAAAAGAGAAAATGATGAGTGTGCTGATTTGAATCTAATGCTGTACTTGTATTATACTATCCCTATAGGACCTTAGGCAAATTTGTAAATGAAATGTCTTTAGGAAATTATCATTTTATTAACTTGGACAATTTTTTTACAGTGTTACTGACTAAGACTACAGGTTTTGATAAATATTTAATCTAATTTCCAGAATGTCATTAAAAGCAGTTTATTTTGATTATCCAATGATTCCCTGAAAATAAAGTATAAATTGAATGTATGTGTTCCTGTTTCAGCAATGAGATTTCATATTCTAAGAAACAAAATGAGTTCACCTCTGCTCTTAGACAGTAGAAAGATTCATATCGGCAAAAAATTGAACCCCAAATGCAGTTCTTCCTACAACCTTCTGTTGTAAATATATTGTAAACTCACCCTGCATTTATATAAAAAGATTATTAGGCCTATGAAAATTATATAACCCTTATCTTCCACCCATCTCTTTCATCACCAGGAGACCACTTCCTTATTACAATCATTTCCATTTTCCTGCACATCTTATCAGAATTCACATTATATTACATATGCTAGTTGGCCTGGAGCTTTCCATGGGTTCAAGTAAAATAGCATCACCAGATGACAAACTGCACCACAATGCCACATTTTCTTTCTGTGCACATTCCTTTGAATAAATGATGTATCAGAGAACATTCAAATAAAACACAACTTCAAACAAGAAAAGCAATTTCAGGGTAACAGTTACTAGTAAAGTCTCATGTTTGTACATGACTTCTCACTAAAGGGATCTCCCTTTTTGATGCTGTTGTTTTTAGGAAATTTGTTTATAAATTAAAGTTATGAGGTACAGTAAAATTAATTTTAAAGGAAGCCCAAGATTTCAGTCCTTACTAGTGGTCTATTTAATTTGCAATTTTGTGGATTTCTGGGAACTCGTGAAATCCGTGATTGTCCGCAACATCAACTTAAAAAAATCCACAGCTTAATAAAAACAAAATGCAGGCTCCCCAGTAAGAACCAATGGTCTTTGCTGCCATGGCCTGGCTGCACAGCCCACCCCGGGGGGGGAGGGCACTGGCTGGCAGGGTGGCATGAAGGGCAGTGGACAAGATAATGGCTGCCTCCTTGTCCATCCTACCCCCACTGGGGCCTCTCCACCAATCAGCACCAAGGGGTGGGGCCACATGAAGGGCAGTCAGCAGACAAGATGGCGGCTGCCCCCTCATCCCTGCTCCCCTGCTGGAGCCTCTTCACCAAGGGGTGGGGCTAGAGGAACACATCTGAGAAATATCTGCAACATTTTCTCTTTATGCATGATTGACCTGCAAAAATTGTTTAGTCTCACTGCAATTTAAGTAGGTCATTAGTCATTACTATGCAGATCTGTCTTTATATTTTTTGTATAATCCTATCACAGGATCTCAAGATCCTTTTTTAAAACACGATTGAAGCATATTTTACATGGATGTTGAGGCATGTCCTGAATATTACTGATTATCAAGCCTGAGAAGTTTAATGATTTTTTCTGCACAGTCACGCATCAAACCAATGGCAAGACTGAGAACAGAACCCAAATCTCTAATTTAAAAACCTGTTTTTGATTCCTTAGATTATATTAACTAGAAAATGATTTTGTGGCTGATATAGGCTTGCTAGTCAGTTCTGGCTTCTATTTTGTCTTTTACCACATGTTTCCTATGCAGGGATAATACACTTCTGAATCTCAAAAGTGTTATAGCTCCAGTATCAGAAATTAGAGTTTAGGATCTTTGGGGCAGGATTTTGGTTTTCCTTTCTGTTTATGCAGGACCTGCAATAATGAACTACAATACAAATAATGATAATGTATGTATTACTAAAAGCTGCAACCCATAATCCATACAATTTTCAGTAGTTTCTAAAAGAGCTATACCAGTCTTCATTAAAGAAAAGAAGGAAAAGAGAAATGTACAGTGTCATTCTCCAAAGCCTTTTCTCTTCTGTAAAGCAACTGTATACATAATTGGAGAGCTAGTGTTATATAGGAGATAATGACAAAGCTGCAACTATTCATTTAATGCAGCTGCAAGCCAGTGTTTTAAAATATACATAAAGGGTAAAAAAAAAAATCATGGTTTAATGTCTTTAGCTGTATAACTGTGTCTGTGGAAAAAATTGTCTAGTTCAAAAATCTTAAGTCACTAGGAAAGTTAAGGGACACCGCATATTTTCTCAAACTCTGCCCCTTCAGCTGCCCCAGTTTTTTTTCAGAAGTGGGGCAGAGAGTTCTGAAATAAAATGCTTGAGCAAGAAGAAAGGTGCACATAAATTACAGGATCTTTCAAACACTGAAGGAAAGAAGGATGTTTGAGAGGTAATCTAATGTGATACAGATCTTCAAAGAACTAGAATACAGGAAAGTAATTTTTCCTCCAAAGATACAGCCTCTGTGTGAGCCTTCAGTTTATGAGACTAAAATGCTCACAAGATGCTTTTAAAAATTAGAGTGGAACAAAAATTGTGGCAAAATGCAGTAATGGAGGAAGACATTGCTAATCACCTTAATGTAGCTGCCTGTTTTCACCTAAGGCCAAGTGAAGAACCACCATAGACTTTGATGAAAGTGGTTGGAGCTCTTTTGGATGTCAGAATTTTTTGACTGAGATGCTGGTAGGTAAAATTATTGTGAAACTACCTACAGGCCTGAGGGGAAAAAAAATTGTTCAAGATCTTTCCTGACTGTGGTCTGTCATTGTTTACCACAGAGCTAGTTGTGGTTTCCACTGTGTGGTTGCAGTCTCAGCAGGAGGCAATTCTGAAAACAAATGAACAAATTTATGGCAATTTTAAAATTGGCTGGAGTGGCATAGCCCTGAATGAGCTCCTGCTGTAGCTGCTATATTTGGACCCATAAATTGGCCCAGTGTGCTTTTAAATGCCTCTTACTGAGTGGACTCCAGCATTTTCATGAAATTGCTTCTGTAGATCCTTCCTGAAGCAACTGTAAGTCATACCTCATGTGCCATTACATTATTTAGAGCAGTAAACCCATTTCATGTGCATGTTCAACAGTCACAGCATTTAAGAATTCATCCTATATATAAATACATTTAGAAAAATGTTGTAGAACATGTTATATTAATTTGAGCTGCTAGGGTGTTTGTGCTTGTTCTTTCTTTACGCAGATAACAGTAACATGGGATCTAAGGAAAAGGAGCATGTATTACAATAGCTGTCTTCTCCATTATCGTCTTCTCAAATTTTTGCTACCAGATATAATTTAACACACTCACTGGATTTGGTTTTACAAGTTTCTTTTAATTTTTTTATGTTTTAAGAGTAATTATTGACATTGTAGTGGTAGTCTTCATTTGATCATTAGATCAACAAAATACAGAATGTGAAACCATTTGGGTAGTAGTAGTTTATTTACAACTTTCACTAAAATAATACACTAAAATTAACATAACATTAGGTAATGTGGTTATTGACAAAAGCATACAATAATATTATACATTCTACCAGTTTAAACTAAATTAAAACAAAACATTATGCTGATACAATGAAAACATAAAATGTAGCAATATACTATAATACAGTAAAATAATAGAATCAGGGGGATTTTATTTAATTTTGGCCCTTATTCTTTGTGCAACTAATGCAAATATACCTAGGGAGTATACATTGGTTAAGGAGGCAAATTTGTTTATTTTTCTTCATTAGCCCAGTATTTAAAATTTCCCATTAACGGAGGGATCCTCTTCTCTCTTATTTCCTCAAAAAATGAGCAAGACCACAAAAAAGTAATCTAGATTGCCTATCTCTTTCTTCTTGCATGAACATATCTTTGTCTAACGACATCTGTTCATAATGGCTTCAGCTCTCATTTGAGTAAATCACAGCCTAGTAATGGCCTCTCATTGTTTGTACTTTTGTGCTTCACATAGGTAGATTTCTAAGATAAAAGAGTGCTCTTTTATCAAAACAGGGAAGTTTAAGAAAATCTCACTATCTGCATATCTGTCTACATGCTGACATCTTTAATTCTTACATTTATATCTTGCTTTAAAAATGGGGGAAATATTGAGTAAGTCTCCCAGGCCATTTGTCTGGAGGACACTATAAATGTTATGTAAGTATCCAAATAAAGGCATATTTGGAATAAGAGAGGATTCTAAAATGTACTTCTTGGAGTATCTGATAGGAGTACATGCTGTAATTTTTATTCAGTAATTTGGAGTTATTAACTGAGCTATAATGCTTACATTAAATAACCCTATAACAGATCACACGAGCCCTCCATCATAAATTTAGTAGAGATAAAAGCCTCCTTAAAATGTAATAAGATTTTTTTTTTCTATTTGTGAATGAACTATGGCGTCATCACCCCATATTTCCGGTCTATACAGTAAAATGGAGTCTACCATAGATCTCTAGGCTTTTACTGCTGCCAGTATCACTCTTCTATCAATCTTACTGTTGTGCGGGCCGGGAGCGCCCCGAGCCCTTTTTCGCGCTGCACGCTGGCTGTGGCCAGCAGCCCGGGCACGCGGGGGCGGAGAGGGAAGGCCTTCGCTCTGGAATTAGGCACGGACGCGTATCGGTAGTTTAAAAGATTGTTTACTTACACCGAGATGGCAATGGCGTAGGCTGGAAAGCTTGATTAAGTTGCAGTTACAGACAGACACAACACAGACAGTCTCGTGGAGGTTGCTAGGCTCCACGGTGCAGAGCTCCGGATGCTCTGGGTGAACAGGCCACCAATGTAGAAATCGTAAATACGTCTTATATTAGTCGCGCTCGAAGACGGGAAGAGGTGGACGGTGGATCAGGCCGCCACGCTCCTCTGGATCTCACACAGGGTTTCTATTACCCTGCCGTGTACCCAGAGTCCCCACGAGATGGATGTGGAGTCCTCTTCGGCTTGGGCAGAAACTGCTCAAGCCTCTTATACGGCTAACAGGCCAATCGCTAGCCGCCACGTGTGAATAATTTAGCACTAGCCAATCACAGGGAACAAATTTGCATACCGGTGGCGGGAACTCTTTTGCACCGTGCATTCCTCTTGCAACTCGAGCAATGCACTCTGCAAAAGAAGCTGCAGAAAAGGCGGGAAACTGGTCCCTGCACCGGGGTTTCCTCTTGCTACAGGAAACTCCCGTGCAATGCTCTGCAACTTAACGTGGATAATTCTGATGCTGAAGCACACACACACAATCATGCCTTTTGGGTCATGACAACTGTGAAAAAGACAAAATTTCACCCATTTGTTTTGTTTTAATACATATGTTGTCATATCCGAAGAATGTCATAATGGTATTTTCAGAACCAAATGCTGCCATCAGAAGTTCATTTGTTAGGAAGCAAAAATGCTTATGGCAGTGAATCAGATATGGAAGAACCAAGAACAAAAAAGTACAAAAGGAGGCCATGACAATAAACATCTTGACAATAAAAAATAAACAAAAATAAATGCACCTTTTGGAGGTGCATTGACTTAACAGGACAACCCTTGAATTGTCCAGGATTCAGTTCAAGACGAGGAAAGAGACCAGAACTGGCAGTCTGTAGTACTCAAGCCTGTTCCTTACAGTATGAAAGTTCCCCTTCTCCTGCACACTCCTTCCTGACATTGATTCTGAATCTTCTCTTTTCAGAAGAAAGATCAGATGCTACATATGAATCTTAGAGCCCTTCACCTGTGTGTCTAGTTTCTTGAATCTGGGCAGGAGGTTTTTTTCAATCTACAATTGTTAAGTTTTTGTTGGAACTTTAAAAGTCATCCAGCAGTGAAAGTATTTTATGTCATAGTTTATTCTCTATTTTTCATTATTTTGCTTGCACCATTTTTATTTTAACTATGACCTTTCTTTATTATGGGCTTATCCTTTTCTTGAGTGAAGGTTAACCTAGCAAATTCCTGTCCAATTCACTCTTTGGCAGCAATGTTGAAGTGGTCAATAGAATGATGGTGTTAAGGGAAGTAATCTTGGTCTTTCTATATAAATCCAGAGTTGAGTTCTCCTTACCACTCTTTGCATGGTCTGTTAGCATCATGTGCCTAAAATATTATTAAACCAGGCAGGGGTGAACAGAGCATGAATGCTTAAGGGAAAAAAAGGATTTATTTCCTAAGTCTGGGGTCCCTGCTATGTGGAGTTAGAATCCTTACTGTCCTAGTTGTGCTACATATAGGATGTGGTCCAGCCCATAATTATCTTAACTTTTCTTAGCTGTCAGTTTTCCTGTTCACCTGATAACTGGCAGAAAAATTAGTAAGTTTGATAATAGTGTAAGGAAAAATAACTATAAATTTTTGTACCATAACTTTTAAAATGTGTTAAAATATCTTATGTCTTACAAAGACATGTACAAGTTTCTTCTTATTTTAAATTTTCCATTCTGTCCACCCAGTAGAAAATGTCTTTCAATCTTGATGCTTGGAAGGTTGTACATACCAGTTGGGCCATAGAACATTCTGTCTGAGCAAAACTACTTTATCAAATAGGATTATCAGATAACATTGTTAAAATGATTATACTAAGACGGAACCCAAGTACAAATACAAATAGCATGATTTTAAATGTTTGTGTATTTATAGACAATATTAATTGTTTCATTTTTAAAGAACAATATTTATGTGTTTGTGTTTTATTCTCACCTAGGACTTTGTTACTACAGTTATTCGTTTATTTGAAAGTCCTTCAACTTTCATTCGAGCAAAAGCTTTTCTGGTCCTGTTGCAAGTTTTAATGAACAATAGAGAAATGTTACTGCTCGGATGCCAAGCAAGGTAAGATGATACTGATTAATATAATCAGACATATGGTGCACATTTCTAAAATTAGCTTTAAGAACTCTCAATAAGTAGTGTAGGCTATATGTATAATTGTTTGTGGAGAAGCTGATTTTTCTGTTTAAAATTAATCCAAACCTATAAAAGTTGACCCCTGTAATGACTACTATATTTAGCAAAAAGTTTGTTTGTCCTCATGCTTTGACCATCTACAACAGAAAGCATCCTTTAATGGACCTTTGATCTTATTTACTCCTTATCCATTTGTAATAACTTGTGCCACCAGCTGGCACTAGCAAGGATCAGGCTCTGTGTTAGGCAAAGCAACTTCAGCTAGTGTCTGACTTAGAATGCAAATTGGGATACTGCTTCTCACTCCTTGCCCCATCCTAGAGTCAGGTGCAATCTGTGGGCTCTTAAATATAGTACCACTATTGGAGGAGAATGCTTCTGAGTTTCTGTTGTTTTGTTGAGACTCTACACAATAGCAGTGAAGTCCTGTTACTTTTGGGCACCAAAGGTATGTCTGAGAGAATGGACAAATGTACCTTGGATTGGTTTCAAAAGGGAAGGGGGAGCTGCTGCATGGGAGTGCACAGTACCTCCTAGAGAATGTAGCTACATGTACACTTTACTGCAGAATAGATTAATTAGCTCTGCAGAAAAGGATCACAGTCTACACCTGAGCTGGGAACAGTACCGTCTTACGGCAGAGTAATTAACTATACTTGTAGATGTGGACTGTGGGCATACATTACTCCCAGTCAGCCCAGCCTAGCCAGCCAGGGGCCTGCTCCACTCTGGCTCAAATTGCTGCTATCCTGGGTGAATGTGTAGATGCTGCGCCCAGGAGCAGTTTACTCCAACTCAAACTGTTCCAGAGTTTATTGCGTTACATTAATTGCATGTGTAGGTGCACCCACAGTGTAGCAGACATGGCTAGGGGCAGACATTCAAAAATCCCAAGGTAGAATCAATCTAAGTTACATGGTTTTCTGTAAGCGGCATAGTTTAGACTGGTAACAAACAGAATGCATATCTGCCCTTTGGTGGAGGGGGACAAATCTTAGACGGGGTTCTGCCATTTTTAAATTAGTCTATGTATGCCGAACTTCTGTTCTGTTACACTTATCAACTGGTTATGTGTCTTTTCTGTTATGGGTATAGACCAGTTTCCAAACAATTAGACCAGTAAAAGTGAAATATCTGTACCTGGCTTATGTGTGCAAAATGGAACTCTTCTAGGATCAGGTTGTGGACTGCATGTCTTAGCTCTGAGGCAGTGTAGAAAGGGTAGAGGGTGCAGAACAACCAGAGGGCAGGACTTGTGACATTGCTTCTAGTAGATTTCTTTTGCATAAAACTTGCCACACATGAGTATATTACATATATGCTACAGGAGAAGGTAGGTTCTGAGGCAGTTGGCAGTGGTATCAGCTGAACCCAGTAGAACAGAGCTTGTAGGGTCAAAGCTTTGGAATTTACAGTATAGGTTATCAGTGAGTGGGCTTTGAAGCCAATCAGCATAGACATTGCAGAAATGACTCTGATGTGTAGGAACTTGGATTGTTTCAGAAGAGTGGATGCTCTTGGAAACGAAGAGAGGAGAGAGAATTCTTCCAACACTTCCTTGTTAGTTTTATCAATTTTAACCAGTTCTCTGTCTCTTTCTTGGACTGAAATGTGAGTGATGATAAAACCTGGTATTCAAGGCGATTCAGATGAGTAGACCACTTAAAAGCAGTGATCATCTGTTTTAAATGCATTTGATATTTCATGCAAGTAGCATCTCTAATTTTTGTGCATCTTCCGATTGTGATGAGATACCTGCTTTGACCAGAGGAAATCCTATGTATCCTCAGACTCTTTTTAGTATGTAATTTGCAAATGTAGTTTTTTGAGGGGTGAGGTAAATAAGGGGAAGTCTGATTTTACCTGAGAGAACTAAAAGAATCTGATTATAAAATATCTGATGCCATTTGCATTATGAAGAAAGATAAAACCTGCTGTAAAACCCACAAGGAAGCAAAAACTGCCTGAGGCTGGGGCAGGAGAAAGTATATAAGGATGGAATGTGAGAGCTGTTGGAATCTGTCCTATGCTCCCTCAAATAAAGAAAATCTACTTTGAATTACAGTTTATAGCAGTCATAACTTTGTGTCTTATATCCCTGTCAAAGGAGAGTTAGGACACAAACACTGAGGTCAGGAACTTTAGCCAATGATAAACTGGTTTCTCGAGGTCAAAGGAACAGGATTGTTGCATGAAGGGCTCAGACCTTTGTGAGGATATTCTGGGGAGAGGGATCTTCATAGTTTGCAGGGGTACTTCTTAGCTCTGTACCGCCCCTGCCTCCCCTCGTAGTCCTTAATTACTTGAGTACACTGCTTTTGTGATGGTCCCACATTTTGCTGAATTTGAAGAACAAGAATTGGACTAAGGGTTTTTTTGGTTTATTTTTTTTCCTTTTAAAATAGTTTTTATCACACAACTGCCTTGATAGTCTTTCTGTTAGTTTAAGTATGATCTGTTATCACTTATGACTCATTTTTAATGACTTAATGATGACTGCATGCTTGCTTAGGGTAGCTAATAACCCCCACCCCCAACCAAATAACAGAATCCTGACAAAAATCCTCTATTTGTGAATACTATTTGTTTATCAAGGCATATTACTGTATTTTGTGAAGGATAAACCTGGGACAATTTTGGTCACTAGATTAATTTTGCCAGTTATTCTTTAGGCTTTTGATTTTTTAAATTTTAAATACTACCCACTGAGCCACCTCTCTGAGAAAAATGGTGGGATAAGTTACTGTGCATTGTGAATATTCATTTTGTTCTAATACTGTTACCTAATACTCCAAACAAAACAGATAATGGTCAGTCTCCAATATAAGCCATCAGGATTAACAATAGCTATGTCTTCTAGCAGCAGTAAAGATTTTATTGAACTAACACACTGTTTTTCTTCACCTATTATGATTTCTTTACACATAATAGAGGTTCTTTTAATGAACAGTGTATCCCCTGACATGATAGTTGATTTAAACTGAAACATTTCTCTGAGGCTTAGATTGTAAGGTGGGCACAGTGGGATGAGAGAGAGAAGAAATGGACCATTATATGTGGAGGCTGTTACTTTTGTAATACTCTGGACTCTGATAGCATTTTATTTGACCCAGCAAAATTAATGGATGTTCTTTGAAGTGTATCAGTGATCATTCATCAGTGTATTTCAGGTAGTCAAGGTAGCTCCTAAATTTGTGGATGAACCATTTGGTTACTTTAGTGCCAGAGGTACAGTGAGCAAGAAATTAGCTGAGTGGCTATTTTTTAAAAATAAATTTGATTTTTTTCAAAATCTGGCAGTCAATATCAAGGGACTGTTTGGGGTGAATAGTTGAGGTAGAAAATACAACAGTGAGAGTAATAACAACCCCAAGGCAATACTGTACCCATCTCTATGGATTCATGATACAAATACTGCTCAGCTTGAGTTGGGACAGAATTTTTATTTTAGGTAAGTTATCAAGATTAATAACAGCAGAGCTATTTGTGAGTTCTTTAGCAAACTGACCAAATGTGTAATCCAGTATTTGCATATAGAAAGTATATGCTATATAGTTAAATTAATTCCCCAAAAGAGATTGATTTCTAAATGACTATTTCAAAATTAATCATATGAGAACTGGATAGATCAGGCACTTGATAATGGAGGCATCTGACCCCATGGTCAAATGGGGCAGTCCCCAAATACGTGGCAATTTGTACTGAAGCCTGTCTCTCAGAGACTTTTTTTAAGTGCTTTGAGATCTGCAAATAGAAAGCATTTATAAATAGTGTTGTTGTAGGTTACTGGTTATAGTCTGGACCCAGGTTAAGATTGAGCAAAAGTCTGTCCGGCCAGTTTTGAACTTAATTGAACTCAGTCCCAATGTCAATGTGTTCATGTTCAGCCTAGTAGGGAGACTCTAAGAATTGAATGAGCTTGGAACTTTAACTATCCTCTCACTTTATAATTGATCTTTTTAATGCTGAGACATTTTAATACTGAGACACTTGGCACTTTGCAGGGGGCCTAGTGATTTCAGTGATTTGCTATGGCTCCACCAGTCTGAATTTGAGTCTTGTTCAGGACTGAAGCTGAAGTCCACCCCAACTTGACCTAACTCTAAATGGGTACCTAATCCTTTGGGCTGCGTGGTCAGACTGAGCATTCTCATTCAGCTGCTTCTATCTCTTGTGGCTATGGGCTTTGGGAGTTAACATACCTTATCTGTGGTAGCCAGATACTCAGACAAAGCATGGCTAGCCGTCCAAAGAAGTCTAACAATGCCACCTTTCAGAAGCACCATGTTTGTCTAAATGAATACAAAAATATATCCCTTGTAAGGTTATTGCTATTTCATGCTTGATGGGTCACAGAAGTCTTTCAAAGTTTTGTTGTTCAACAGAATTACTCTGTTTCATCTGCATGGCACTAAAGTACCCTGGTACAGAGAATCATATTACACAATAATATAGTCTTGTGACAGATATCTGTCACTTGATTTATAGATCTTCATAAACAGTTTTAGCTATTTTGTAATCTACAGCTGCTACTGTAGTGCCATTTGCCTTAGAACATTTTGACTGCTGGTGATTTAAAAAGGATGATAGCGGTATACTCCAATGATAGTGTACAGTACTGCTGTTCTCAAGATTTGATATAATGAACTGAATTTTTGGTTTAGCTCATACTTTTTCTTAACAATGACCTTTTTCCCTGCAGTCATTATTTCCTTTCTTTTTCTCTTTGCCATTCTGTTATGTGATGTAGAACTTTTTGGTTTATTCTTTGTCTCCCTTTACATAAAGCTACATTAAATAAGTATGACATAAATGAAAATAAGTAAAAACTCAATGTCTTCACTTTTTCTCTGTTTTAAAGTATACAGTAATATGCTATAATTATGTTTCAGTTTTCCTTCGGCTATTAGTATGTTTAAAAAAAT